TATTACCGTCGCTGACAGTTTTATCAAGAAAAGTGATTAATTTTGTCAAATACTTTTTCTGTGCCAACTGAGATGATCAAGTGGTTTTTCCTTGGTTCGATTAATGTGGTATATTACATTGATTTTCCTTATGTTGCACCACGTTTGCATTCTGAGTATAAATTCCACTCAGTCATGGTGTATAATCCTTTTAATATGCTGTTGGATTCAGTCTGTATTGGTATATTTTGACAACTAAAGATATACAAAGAAAACAAACTGCAATAAAACATACTAAATGTTAACAGTAATTATCATGTAATTATCTCTACATGATGAGTTTATGGGGGAGATTCTCTCCTTTATACTTTTCTGTATTTTCTACAATGAATAGGAGTACCTTTTATTTTAAAACACGTAAGATTTTATTGATACAGAGTATATAAAGAAATTGTAAAATCACCACGAAAGACAAACCGAGTAAAACAATGGACAAAACACAGGCAAATCAAAAACCATAATGACCATGAGCATATGAAAAGATGATCCAGCTACTAGTTACTAGTGAGATACAAATTAAAAACAACTATCACAGCCAATGTTTTGGCCAAAATGTAAAAAACAAAAGCTGGGGGTTTGCATAAAAATGAGTCCTCTCATTTGCTGCAGGTAAGAGTGCAAAAGGGCTTAAAACACTACAGAAACAAATGTAGCAACACCTACATTACATTATACACATCTGTGCATTTAAAAAAATGTAAAGAACCATGCACCAAAAACCAAAGAGGTGAAAAATCTGTACACTGAAAACTACAGAAAGCTTATGAAAGAAACTGAAGAAGACACAAAAAAATGGAAAAATATTCCACGTTCTTGGATAGGGAGAACAAATATTGTTAAAATGTCAATACTACCCAAAGCATTCTACATAGTCAATGCAATACCTATCAAAATAACACCAACATTCTTCACAGAGCTAGAACAAACAATCCTAAAATTTGTACAGAACCAGAAAAGGTCCCGAATAGCCAAAGCAATCTTGAAAAAGAAAACCAAAGCTGAAGGCATCACAATCCTAGACTTCAAGCTGTATTACAAAACTGAACTCATCAAGACAATATGGTACTGGCACAAAAACAGACACTCAGATCAATGGAACAGAACAGAGAACCCACAAATGGACCCACAAACATACGGCCGACTAATCTTTGACAAAGCAGGAAAGAATATCCAATGGAATAAAGACAGTCTCTTCAGCAAGTGGTGCTGGGGAAACTGGACAGCGACATGCAGAAGAATGAACCTGGACCACTTTCCTACACCATACACAAAAATGAACTCAAAATGGATGAAAGACCTAAACATTAAGACAGGAAGCCATCAAAATCCTAAAGAAGGCAGGCAAAAAACTCTTTGACCTCGGCTGCATCAACTTCTCACTCAACATGTCTCTGGAAGCAAGGAAAACAAAAGCAAAAATGAACTATTGGGACCACGTCAAAATAAAAAGCTTCTGCACAGCAAAGGAAACAATCGGCAAAACTAAAGGGCAACCAATAGAATGGGAGAAGATTTTGCAAGCGACCTAACAGATAAAGGGTTAGTATCCAAAATCTATAAAGAACTTATCAAACTCAACACCCAAAAAACAAATAATCCAGTGAAGAAAGGGGCAAAAGACATGAATAGACACTTCTCCAAAGAAGACATCCAGATGGCCAACCAACACATGAAAAGATGCTCAACATCACTCATCATCAGGGAAATACAAATTAAAACCACAATGAGATACCACCTCACACCTGTCAGGATGGCTAACATTAACAACTCAGGCAACAACAGATGTTGGAGAGGATGTGGGGAAAGAGGATCTCTTTTGCACTGCTGGGGGGAATGCAAATTGTTGCAGCCACTCTGGAAAACAGGATGGAGCTTCCTCAAAAAATTAAAAATAGAACTACCCTACGACCTAGGCATTTATCCACGGGATACAGCTGTGCTGTTTTGAAGGGGCACATGCACCCTAATGTTTATAGCAGCACTATCGACAATAGCCAAAGTAAGGAAAGAGCCCAAATGTCCATTGATGGATGAATGGATAAAGAAGATGTGGTGTGTGTATATATATATATATATATATATATATATATACACACACACAAAGGAGTATTATTCGGCAATCAAAAAGAACGAAATCTTGCCACTGGCAACTACATGGATGGAACTGGAGGGTATTATGCTAAGTGAAATTAGTCAGCCAGAGAAAGATAAATATCATATGACTTCACTCCTATAAGGAATTTAAGACACAGAACAGATAACATAAGGGAAGGGAAGCAAAACTAATATAAAAACAGGGAGGGGGACAAAACATAAGAGACTCTTAAATATAGAGAACAAACAGAGGGATACTGGAGGGATTGTGGGAGGGGAGATGGGCTAAATGGGTAAGGGGCATTAAAGAATCTACTCCTGAAATCATTGTTGCACTAAATGCTAACTAACCTGGATATAAATTTTTAAAAAGAAATATTTAAATATTTAAAAAAACACAAAGAAACAAAAAAAAAAAAAAACAAAAAATAATTTTAAAAAATACAGAACCAAATCCAGCAATTCCAATTTTACAACACATGTTCTAAGAATGATTACTTTAGCATAATTTGCAACAGCAAAGTTTGAAAACAACCTACGTATCTAACCAAAAGAGACTGGAAAAACTCTGGATTTTCTCACTTAAGAAATACTAGGCAAGAGAGATGAACAAACTAAAGCTATGTGTATCAACATAGATAAATCTAAAATCATTACTGAAAAAAAAAGCAAGCTGCAGAATAAAAACTACAGTATGCTACCTTCAATACAAAATTCATAACCCTATAGGGGCACCCAGCTGGCTCAGTCAGTAGAGCACACAAGTCTTGATCTCAGGGTTGTGAGTTCAAGTCCCATGTTGAATGCAGAGATTACTTAAAAACAAACTCTACGGGCACCTGGCTGGCTCAGTACATACAGCGTGTGACTCTCAATCTCAGGGCAGTGGCCCCACAATAAGTGCAGACATTACTTTCAAAGATATTTTTAAAATAATAATAAAAAATTTTTTTTAATTTTATAGCCCTATAAAATGAAACTTTTATGGCAAGAGAATACACAAGCATGTAATAAAAATAATAAAACATGAATGAGAAAAATAATCCAATTCAAAGTAACCCCTGGGAAAGAAGGGGTATAGTATACCCCAGGCAGTCTCAAATGAGAAATCTTATTTTTTAAAACAAAAACACACACAAATATGTAATGATTTTAAGATTTATATATCTGAATTGTAAATGTATCGTTATTTGTAGTAATACTTTCAAATTTGTCTGTTTCAAATACTTTATAATAGGAGTATTTTTAAGAAAAACTAAACCAAAATACAGCCAAATGTCAAATCTATTTGAAAAGGAAATTGGCCAGTTTTGAAAAGGAAATTCCCAGCCATCACTGGAGACAGAACCCTTTCTTGTGTACTCCTTATAGCAATAAACACCTTTTGGTCAATGAAAATATCTGATGATTCTAGATGAAATTACATTTCAGGAATAAAGACAGAACTAGCCTAATTCAGAAGAAATCATAAAACAAAAACTGCTTATGACACTATGGTGATGAAAATCACCAAAGATTAATAATATCACACCTGTTTTAGAACTTAACACGGTTGTGACAGAGGTCTTCTAACAAGCCTTTTTTTTTTTTTTTTTTTTTAATGTTTGTTTATTTTTGAGAGAGAGAGCACAAACAGGGAAGGGGCAGAGAGGTGAAGGGGGACAGAGGACCCAAAGTGGCCTCTGCACTGACAGCAGGGAGCTGATGAGGGGCTTGAACTCACGAATCATGAGATCATGACCTGAGCCAGTCAGACACTCAACCGACTGAGCCACCCAGGCGCCGCAGCCTCTCTTTCTTAATAGTGATATCTTCATAGAAAATATGGCCAGAGTGTAAACGAAATACCCAGAGTTATCACAAAAAATAATGATGAAAGGTTCTGGAATTAAACAGTGGTGACGGTTATACAACTCTGTGAATATATTAAAACCCACCGAATTGTATACTTTAAAAGAGTGAACATAGGCACAGCTGGGTGGCTCAGTCAGTTAAGCGTCCGACTCTTGATTTTGGCTCGGTCATAATCACACGATTCAGGAGTTCAAATCCCACAACAGTCTCTGTGCTGACAGTACAAAGCCTGCTTGGGATTCTCTCTCCTTCTCTCTCTGTCCCTCCCCCACTATCTCTCTCCCTCCTTCTCACTCTCTCTCTCACTCTCAAAATAAATAAACGTAAAGAAAAGAGTGACTATTATGACATATGAACTATGTCTCAAGAAAGCTGTTTTTAAAATTAAAAAAGCAAAAAAAGTGATGATTCATTTACAGTGGCATTCCAACATTCCAACAAAGCTCCTTTTTTTCCATTTACTGCAATTACCATAAGTTCCATAAAACCAAAAACTCTTATTTATCTTTGGAAAGAGCACACTATAAATAAAGCAACACAAAATCTACTTTCCAGCCTAAAAATCTAACTTTCTCACAATGTCATAAACAAAATCTGTGATAGAACTACACATTTTTAAGCATATTTTGAGCTGAAAATCTACATTTTCCTTTAGTGGCAGAATGCTCTGGTGAGAAATCAGGTTGCCAATTACTTCTGACAACTACATTTTTCTGAAAAGAAGGCCCTACCTCCCCCCAAAATTACCTCTACTCAAGTAAATTATAAGGGATGGCTCCTATCATCCATAAGGAAATAGAAACATTTCCTTACCTCTACAGAATACTCAAAGCTTCAGAACTAAAGCAGAATCTCATCTACCAAGATAGGCATTCACATATCAAGAAAACAGAAAGCAGGTGGCAGACCTGTGGGGATGTTGGGGCCTTAGAGCCTAAGTGGTAACTTCCTGTTTTCATAACTCAGTGGAAAGGAACAAGGGTTTGACCTAAGGCTCAAAGTTAGACACAAACCTGTTCTTCTTCTGTAAAGGGTACAAGAGCCAACGGAGGCAGGGGCTCCTCCTGTAGGATAGGCAGAAATTCTTTATCCAGAAGGTCTGAAGGTATCTGTATGACCAAACACATGACCATGAAATTAATGCTATCCCTCCAATTAACAAAAATTATAAAAAAAGAAAAAAATACTCTTCTGTTTATCTCTTGGTGATTGTTACAAATATGGAATAAAGCTTATTCAACCACAATTACCTCCAGTAGTACTTACATATTCTGAGAAGGTTAAATATTAATAACCCCAGTCCCTTTCCTCTTCCTCCCATCAGACCACCACTTTAGATTTGATATACAGCATTAACTCTGGCATTCCAGAGTGCACAGTGGAAGGGTAAATATCCTCACATTTAACTCAAGGCACAAGGCAGTAAAGAGTTTCATAAGCAATTTTATCTGTCCTCAGCAGCCATCATTAAAATGTGACATCCCCAACCCATTAATAAAAGCAAAAACAAAGTATATTGTTAAAACAGAAAATATTATCTCTCACTAGTCAGATAGTTAAGTGTACTTTACACTGTTTGGGTTTTGACCATTTATAGGAAACACAAATGTGGTAACATATTTTAAGATGTTCTCTCTGCTAAAAATCGTACATTTAACACAAGAAGGGAAAAAAAGCAGCAACTCCTCTTCTCACTCGTAACTTCTAACTGAAAAGAGGTACAATAAAGACAAGAAATTCCTCCTTTCTCAGACATCAAACTGGGATAGAAATGGACATGAATGAGACATTGAGAGGAAATCAGACAAAGTATTAAGTGCTGAATATTCTGTTTCCATGAAGTTTTCTATTCCTATAGTGAAATCTTAGGTCCTCAGTAAAAAACACGGGCTCCTTACACTTAGAAGATTCTCTGTCAATTACTACAGGTTTCAAAGCAGGAAAAAAGAGAAAAACCATGAGTCCATCATCTATCAATGTATCACTGTACATACCCTGAAATCTCATTCCTAATTCTGAAGTCTTTCCTTTCTCCTTACCTTGTTATCTTTAAGGAAAAGTGCTAACATTTCTTCTCTACCATAACGATAGTCTGCTAACTTATACTTCGGCAAAGCTGGAGAAAGAGGAGGGGACGTGATACTCCCACCACTGGACAGAGCTCGGAGCCTAGGAGAGACATAAAATACAAAAATGAAGGGTCAAATATTCTGGCACCAAGGACTTTTGTTTTTATGTGCTATAAAAAGGTTCACTTTAGGTCTTTAAAAGAACAGAACGAAATCCCATTATCTCAAGATTTTAGCTTTCATATAACCATTGTCACAACACGTTGAGAGCAGTTCACTGAGAAACAGACAACCATGTGGTAATTCCCTAACTTAAAGAGGTATCATGATATATCCCTGAGAAATCTGGAGTGAAAAGGTGACACTGTTTCAAACTTGTAATATCTTAAGCAGGCTTCACACCCAGCACAGAGCCCAATGTGGAGCTTACATTCTTTTTTTTTTAGTGTCTGTATTTATTTTTGAGACAGAGGGAGACAGAGCATTGAGCAGGGGGCAGAGAGGGAGACAGAGGGAGACAGAATCTGAAACAGGCTCCAGGCTCCGAGCTGTCAGTACACAGTCCTACGCGGGGCTCGAACTCTCAACCACGAGATCATGACCTGAGCCGAAGTCAGATGCTCATCCAACTGAGCCATCCAGGCGCCCCCCAATGTGGAGCTTAAACTCACCACCCTGAGATCAAGACCTGAGCTGAGATCAAGAGTTGGACACTCAACCAACTGAGCCAGGCAGGTACCCCTTGAAATTATAAAGGTAACCTGATTAAAGTAAGGGGCACCTGGCTGGCTCAGTCAGAGGAACATGCGACTCTTGATCTTGGAGCTGTGAACTCGACCCCTACGTTGGGTATGGACGTTACCTAAAAATAAAATCTTTTTAAAAAAGAAGTGAAATATCACCTTCTACCTGTTAGATTAATAAGAATTAATAAATCTGACAATACCAATTAATAAATCTGGAGTATCAGTTGCTAGTAAGTGTGAAAACCAATGGAAATTCTCAAGTAGTAACTGTGGGATTGTAATGGAACAACCACTTCAAAGAATAATCTGCTAGTGTTTAATAAAATATTTAGCAAAGTATACTACACGAAAGAAAAAGCAAAACACAGAAGGTTAGGAGCGCCTGGGTGGCTTAGTCAGTTGAGCATCCAACTGCTGATCTCGGCTCAGGTCATGATCTCACGGTATGTGGGACTGAGCCTCACACTGGGCTCCGCACTGGAAGTGTGACCCTGATTGAGATTCTTGCTCTCTCTCAAAATAAATAAATAAACTTAAAAAAAAAAAAAAAAAAAAAAAAACACAGCTTACAAAAAAGAGATACACGTAAACCTGTAAATAAGTTTATACTCTTTAAGAACCATACAAAATGTAGCAAAAGTATAGACACAAACATGAACTGACAAATATAAAACTCAACATAAGATTCTATGTGCAAAGAAAAAGACAGCATCAAGGGAGTTTTAATTATACCTGCAATGTTTTATTTTCTTAGCTTGGCACTGGGTACATGGATATTTGCTACAATTTATACTTTATATGCCTGTAATATTTCATGATTCATTTTTAATAAAAGCAATCAATGATCAATGTAGAGAAATTCAAAATGCAGTGAAGAATGAAAATACAAAAAAAAGAAAAATTTAACCCATATTTACTGTTAGGCAGAAAAAATATATAACCCTAAAAGGAATGGAACTGGGGAAAAAGGAACATTTTTTTAATTTTATAAGATGCTTTTATTTTAAAAAGGTGGGGGAACCTCAGCAAAAAATGGCAAGAGTAAGATCCCACTGCAGCACTGTGTCAAAGAGCAAGTGGCAAAACTATCAGCAGCAACTCATTGTCTGGGGGCCGCCTGAAGTTCTATAAAGTAGTAAGTACCAAGGGTAAAAGGGGCCAGTGTACTTTAGCCTAAATGAAAATTCAACAGAAGCATTAAAATACATCCCCAAATTGCTAACTTCATTCACATTAGCAAAAAAGAAGAGAATAATCTACACAGTAAAAAAAAAAAAAAAGAAATCAGAGCATTGTAATACCAAAAAAGGGTGGGGGGGGAGGAATGTATTAGTAAATTCAATGGTAGTCTTTTCTCAGTGTTTCTATCTTCTCTTTTGCACTTACTTTTTTTTAACATTCATGGGCGATTTTGAACATCTATAAAAGCCAAGAATTACAGCACAAACTCTCATGTACCACTCACCCAGCCCTCAGCTCAATAACCCATGGCCAACCCTGCTCCCTCCACCACCCCCATCTAACCCTTCTTTAATACCGTTTTGAAGGAAATGATACACTTTCAAAGATTTTTTGAAGGGAATTATTTTCAACATTTTTTGAGGAAATTTTTGAAGGGAAGTTATTTCATTTGTAAATACTTCAGAATGTTATAAAAGATAAGGATTTTTTTCTAGTCTGGATTTTGCTGATCTTATTCCGGTGATATAGGTTTACCATGTTTCACTGTTCTCTGCATTTCCTGTACACTGGTGACTGCAAGTGAACAGTACTTCGATGTGGCGGTGTGTAATGCCATCAGGAGGCAGTCCCTGGTTTTATGGGTCTAGCAATCCCTGAACCAATGCCTGCATAGGTCCCTAAATTCACTAAGGTTACAAAGTGATTTTATTTTATCATTCTTTATTAGCGGGAGTATTTCTACAAGGAGAAACTTCTCTCTTAACACTATTTGGTGTTGTTACTCAGTAGGAAATAGGTTGTTCCTATAAGAACTCATGTTGTTCTTATAGGAAAGTTAGAAAAAAAGCCTTCTTAGTTTTCAAAATAAGGACTTAGTTCACTAGCATTCTCCAATGGTAACAAATTATTTTTTATTAAAGTATTTCAATTCAATGCAGTTCACAATGTCCAAATTGTCTTATCCTTTTTTGCTTTTTAAGTAGGTTCCCCACCCAAGGTGGGGCTTGAACTCCCAACCCCGAGATCAAGAGTCGTATGCTCCACCAACTGAGCCAGTCAGGCGCCCCTCAAATTGTCTCCTCTTTGACCGTGGGAGATTCTTCAGGTTGGCTCCTAATTCTGACACAACCCTAGCAGTCTTTAACAGCTTCTTTTCTATCTGCTATGTCAAAATGTTACCGGCACAGCTTATTATTTCTTGCCTCAGCCCTAGAATCAACCACTTCTCCACGGAGCCTGATTCTCTTTGGTACATATTAAGAGCACAATTTAGGGGCCAAGAGTACTCACTGCTACTAGGTTGGTCTTTTGTTTTCTTTCCGATTATTCTTGGACTTTGAGGTCATTTAGTCCAACTCCTGTAAGACAGGTTGGAACAACCAGGAAAGACAACATGCCCACAAAGAAGTGATCCAACCTCTGTTGAAGGACCTTCCAGGAAACTGCTTTCCATCAAATTCATGTAAAGCTGGATTCTTTCCTGACGAAGTGGAATTAATACCCACTCAGAGCTGAGGCTGGGAATTTTACATACGCACTACCTCATTTCATTTCATTTCAGCTCTGCAACAACCCCAGTAACAAACAAGGGTTACACAACTTGCCCACACAGACAGAGCAAAGATGCAAACTTAGGTTTTCATGACTAAAAAGATCAAAATCCTTCCAGCAATACATCTCAAAATTTTATTTAAAATAGCCAGGGTTTATTCTGCCACACGTTAATTTTAAAGTATATGTATTTTATTAGAAATTATTTTAACGTATCTTTCTTATACTGAGCCGATGTGCTCGCCAATAGTTTCTACCACTAGAGGGCATATCTAGGTGCTCTTTCAAGTGAAAATCATTCCCAAAGTGGCAAATAGTCACAATGCCTCAAGAGACTTTCCTTCTCATGGCCCAACATCCCTAATTTGTTCATCAGCTCCTGACAAGTGGCTTCAAATCCACTCACCACCCCGGTTCCCTTCCAGTGGATCCCCATCACCCATGCCCAAGAGCTCCTCCAGTGTCCAGGACTGAATACTTCTTATAGGCACCACATTTATTAAGAGTAACGTAACCAGAGCGCATTCTCAAGAGATTCCTCCAGCTACTGTGAAGAGAACAGTCAAACAAATGGAGAGTAATTCAAACAAAGATGGTGGCCTGAATAAGGATAATTGTGCTCTACTTAATAATCGACAAATCCTATTCCAAGTCCCTCTTCACCTACAGATATTTGGAAAAGCTAACTCATACCTGGGTAATAAATATCCCTAAAACCCCACCAGTGATCTTTAACCTCTCTTGGATCTTGCTCCATACAAGCCTCTCTTCTAGAAATTTAATCCCTATTTGCTTTCCCCTTAGTCTCTAAGTATACCTAAAAGTGATGTGTTTAGGGGCCCCTGGGTGGCTCAGTCAGTTGAGTGTCCGACTTCAGCTCAGGTCATGATCTCATGGTTCATGAGTTCGAGCCCCAAGTCAGGCTCACTGCAGTCAGTGTAGAGTCTGCTTCAGATCCGCCGTCCCCCTCTCTGTGTCCCTCCCCCACTCACGCGGTCTCAAAAATAAACATTAAAAAAAAAGTTGGGGCTCCTGAGTGCCTCAGTCACTTAAGTGTCCAACTTCAGCTCAGGTGATGATCTTGCAGTTCACGAGTTCAAGTCCTGTGTCAGGCTCTGTGCTGACAGTCAGAGCCTGGAGCCTCCTTCAGATTCTGTGTCCCCCTCTCTCTCTACCCATCTCCCACTTGCACTCTCTCTCTCAAAAATAAAAATTAAAAAAAAAAAGTCCCCTCGCTCTCTGCCTTCCCTTGCTTGCACTCTCTCTCTCAAAAATAAATTTTAAAAAAATTTTCTATAAAATACAATTGTTAGGGGTGCCTGGGTGGCTCAGTCGGCTAAGCATCCAACTTCAGCTCAGGTCATGATCTCATAGTCCATGAGTTCGAGCCCTGCGTCAGGCTCTGTGCTGACAGCTCAGAGCCTGGAGCCTGCTTCAGATTGTGTCTCCCTCTCTCTCTGCCCCTCCCCTGCTCATGCTCTGTCTCTGTCTCAAAAATAAATAAAAACATTAAAAAAAATTTTTTAGTAAAATTTTTTAAAATTTAAAGCTGGAAATAATTTTTAAAAATAAAAAATAAGTAACAGTGATTTGTTTAAAACCCCTTTAATGCAGCATCCCC